AATCAAGTTACTAATAAAGACATTGATGTAATAAACATGGGAGACAATAATCAAGTTACTAATAAAGACACTGATGTAATAAACATGGGAGACAATAATCAAGTTACTAATAAAGACACTGATGTAATAAACATGGGAGACAGTAATCAAGTTACTAATAAAGACACTGATGTAATAAACATGGGAATGCATCAAAAGCTTAGTTATTAGTCTCTGTCTTGACATAGAACAAAGCAGTATGTAAAGACATCTTCACATTCTAAGTTTATTCCTATATAACCTTGCTAGATCTTTCTCTACAACTGATAAAAGTAAACCAGATAACACATATTTCAGAACAAGTGTCATCATTAAATGGAATGTGTCCTACCAATTACTCCACTTGCACAATAATAAATCCAACGTTATAATAAAAAAATAAATAGTTCAAAAATTCTAAAAAAAAGAATTGTTCCAGTTTTACAATCAACTTAAAATAAAGAAGAAATTAAAGTAATAAAATTATGTCTTAAGAAATTGAGGTTCTTCGCTCTCACTTAGTAAACTCATAACATTTTGTTGAAGTGTTATTTCAAGACAGGCAAAGCTTATTATCTTCAAGTTTCACCTTTAAAACTCAAAATAAATCATTTTTATGGGTGATATTGGTTTGGAAACCATGAGAAAAAAAAAGGTGTGATTTCTCATGGAACAAAGTCTGTGACCCCTGACCGTAAATGTAACCTGTATGTTGAGTTTGAGATATATTCTCAGCAGTTTTCTGATAAACCAAGACAGATGGCATAAAGACATGAAAATAGACTTAATATAAGACCTTGTCTTAACACAGCATGTACTATTTTATGTACAAATATTCTACACAGTAATAATGTATTAGTTACAAACTTTAAAAAAACTTAAGGGGTTGAAGTGCTTGAAAAATTACACTCCACCCCCCTTTATATACCCTAATTATGTCTCAACCATGTAAACATGTAGTTAGTCATGTAAATAATTAAGCAACCATCCTCAAAGATTATAAGAATTATTCAAAAAGTATTTTCAAAATCTTACAGAGAGATCCAATGCGTTCATTAGGTCCATTAATCCAATAGGAATCACATATATATATCCACAAAAAAACCTAAATCCAGGAGCTCAGTCCATATAATAATACCTACTAATACAGAATGAATGAAATATATATTCATAAAAAAACCTAAATCCAGGAACTCAGTCCACATTCATTAATCCAAAATTAATCAAATATATTCATAAAAACCTTATACAAGTCCAGAAAGTCATTGATTCCTTTAATCCAAAAATAATGAAAAATTCACACTTATCAGGTTCATCAATACACATATACAAGAAATACAAATAAAATACTTATTCAATACAGAATTAAAAGATTCCAATGTATTAACATCCAGTACACTCTGAAAAAAACATTAAGTACCCACCAATAGACACACGTGATTTCTACTTATGACTGAGTATACATGATGTTTAAAACTAGCATTTCTAATCTCATCTGTGTTGAAATTAGAACACACTTCTGAGAACCACCTTAAGAAATGCTATTTTAGATTCTCAAGCTAACGAGAACAATGAAGTTATGAGAGTTTATAGCAGCCTAAGAATATTTGTAAACATTAAACTAGCATTTCAGAAAATATTTATGTATAAACAGAGATACCACCACACTAACCATGCTCTCTTTCAAAACCAGAAAAAGATAATTCTAAAAGATGTATATTTTTGTACAGAATTTTCCTTTGCCTCATTTAAAACAATTAAAACTTAAGCCTTCAACCATAATAAGGTTCAAAGTTATTAAAATACCGTCAAGAGTTTTGGATATCATATTACTTGGTTCAAGGAATTGCAAAAATTAACAACTGGATAAACTTAGCTCTTATCAGCATGATTACTATTATTACAAGCAAAAGTGAACAGAAATAAATAAGTATCTAAAGGCGTAGGTGTAAAAACCAAAGGACTTGTTGTTCAGTTGAGAGTTAATAAAGAAAGTTTACTCATTTACGAGTTTTGACTCTGTACTTTTAAATAATAAAGTATACCCACTGGGAATGTCACGTCAACTTACTCGTCATGCTTGAACCAATTCATAGCTGATTAATTGATTTGACTTAGCATTTAAAAACTCTCGAGGTCATGTTGTGGAGCTGACACAGATCGCAGGTTTAGTTAAGCCTATATTTTACTTCCTGTTAAGTTTTGATTATTCACTCGTACATTAAAAGACATAATTCAGACGAGCCAACATTAAGATTACAGTCTTTACAATAAAACGAGAAGTAAATCCTCATATGTATTCCCTTGTGTCAGGAAAGCATCTACACTTTTCTATTCACTGTTTGATACACATAGTATGACCAGAACTTCAACCACAATCAAAGCATTACACAGGTGGCAGCATAAGTAAAACGGGAAACAACAGCTTCAAGTAGCAGTTAGGAAATTTTGAACCAGTTATCCGAGTAATCATGATGTCCCTAATATTTACTATAATATAATAAAACTCTGTGGAGATATTTTTTTAGCATTTCAATACTGGAGAAGAGCTCAAAATTAAACCTTATCTAGGGTTAAAAAAAAAACTATATCTATAAGGGATTAAAATATGTTAAAAAAAAAGATCTGTACAGAAATATAGATTAAATTCTTTTCTTGAAAGGCATGACAAACTTTTATAAATTGATTATTTCTACACATTTATAGTTTGGTTTCTCAAGCAACTAATAAGATTCAGTTAAAAATCTCTCTCTCTAACATTTTCATAATCTTTAGACCGGATTTAGCTAGAAAAGTCCTAAAACCTGTTACATTAAACCAAAAATTTGAAATTAGGTTTGGTAAACTCAACTGTCCAATTGGGATAAGTAAACCTTTACTGATCAGGTAAACCCTAATTTTATTGAACAGCAACTAAAATTCTTGCAAATTTCCACACTGACTGAAACGTTAAAGATAATTTTCTGAAAGTCTTTCATGCATTTATGAAAAACACTCTTAAACAGTTTATTGTACTGAAATGTTGTGAGTAAATAAAGCTCAGCAACTTAGCCTCCTACTCAAGGAGGACTAGGCCTACATGCTTCTGAAAATGAAGATACACCAAAATTGTGGAAATAACTGTTGCTAACAAAATCAAAGAAGTTTTCAACAGGGCAGAGTAAAGAAAACAAATTTCCATTCAGTTGGCCTTTAGTTATTTTTGTCACATTTTTACAGAAAGGAGCATATTTTGTAATATCTTTTCCATTGAATAAAATGCGTATAAAATAATTGGAGACAGAAGTCAGAGAAGTGTTGTTGGATTTGTAGAGTTCAAAAATAATTCTGGATACATATGGGGGAAAGATTCCATTCGCATAACCAAGGGTAGTACTGAGTGCTGCCAATGTAATATCATGGCCTGAAAACAGGATAAACCGTTCAGGCAACTTCTTGTTGATTTTATCGTGAAACAATCGTTGGAGCATGACCATGAAACCATACATCCTGAGGCGAGATTTCTTTTGATAAATAGGGTAAGTGGCAAGCTGTTTTCCTTCCCAATCTAAGTAACTAACCAGTTTCTTCAGCTTGTTTCTAGTAATACATGGAAAATTGTCATTTGTTTCACAAGGTAATTTGGCACCATGACAAAGATAACCCATTAAACTGTCAAACAATGTCCCTCCCTGAGTAATGTTGGGAGTTTTTTGACTAGGTTTAACAAATGAACTGATCTTGTGAATTAGTTCTACAACAGCCTGATGAGAGATTAGCAAGTTTCTCATCTTTTTGTTGAGCTGTCCCTGCATGTATTTCAAACCAGGGCACCTGCATAGGTTATGTTTTCCACAGAATGAAGTGTCCTCTACAGCATGGATGGTGAGTTTTTTATCTGGACTGAGAGATGGCAGAAAACCAAACATAAAAGCCAGTGCACTTTGAAAAGTTCTAGCATACATAGTACTGAAAACCAACACATTCTGAACATTCCAAGTTTGTGACAGAAGATTCCAATGCTTATTGTATAAGTTTCCAAGAAGTCTACCCAACCTTAACTCTTGCAAGGCTCCTAGCTGGGTTAGGTGACCCGACCAGCATTGTTTACTATATGGATATGGAGGAAAAGAGTGGAACTCAGCAGAAGCTCGATACCACTTTAGCTTCGAGTTCATTACATCGGTAAACTGGCCAAACAGAGGGTATTTCAATGGCTCTTTCACACCACAGTTGATTAATGACTGATTTTTAATCTTCAAAAGTGGTCCCCTGTCTCCATGTCTGACCAGCACAGCAACTAACTCTAAAGAGTAACCATCTCTTACTTGACCTGTTAACAAAAGTGAAGATGAGATTTAATATAATACCCTAAAATATTAACTTGAAAAAAAAAGTCACTTGTAACGTTAACATTTCTCAATGCCTTTTTTTCCAGTTTATCTTTTGTTGCTGTCCTTCACTACTAATATTTAATAATCATAGGGCACTTATATAATATTTTGTCTGCTTGGGACTTGTGCTGCTTGCTCAACTGACAGATCAAGATTTTGGAGCCGTAGTTAAGGCCAATTATTATCAATTCTATAATACTACAAAATTGTTATTGCAAAACAATATGAGAATTTCCAGTTGGTTACTTTCAACATAAATCAAAACAACTTCACTGACAGAGTTAATGATAGAAGCATTTTCTTGATGCTGGAGTTTTTGTTGGATTAGTGTATGATTATATTTGAAATGGTTGTTTATTATGATACATGAAGAACAACCTTGATCAAACAAATAGCCAATGTAGGAATCAACTGATACAAATAAGTTTATTTTGATAATATTTATAAATACATTTAGTTATTTAAAAAAAAAAAAGAAATTCAGAGAAAATGTATGAACTAAATTTCAGAGTGAGATGAATTTTCTTTATATGTAATTCATAAAAAGTTATATGCTTTTTTTAATATTATATACACATGTTACATCTTTTGATTAAAAAAATAACTTTGTTACTTATAACACAAAGAATGATCCTTGATCATAATCTGGTTTCCTCTTTTACATCCAGTTACTCATTCAATGTCCAAGTTATTTTATTGACCTTGAATAATCTGAATACATTTAATATCTTAAGTGTAATAACGTAATTCTTATACTTATTCCAACAACACAGAGATATATATTCACCTTCACTTCCTAATGATATCTGGTCTGGAGGATTACAGTATTCCTTTATTTCAGCAATTCTAAACAAATCTTTAAACACGGTAGGACTGTACCTCGACTGTAGTAACTTAACACCTTTTTCTTTCTTATCACTTCCTTTGGTTATGAATCGCACTAAAATAGAAAGCAAGAACTTAATTAGAGAAACTGGAAAGATTTTTACTAATAATGTTAAGATTATTGAATTTCTATTTAAGAGGTCAAGTCAAAAAGTTCATAGAGCAAGGTACTTGCAACAATTTCATCCTTAAAGTAACGATTTTACTTTTATTGTAATCTCTCTTGACTTTAATGTCCATTTGTCCCTCAAGTTGTCTATACCAACAAACACAGAAGTCTTGTGACTATTCACTGTAGCCAGCTTAAGCAAGACTGGTGTTTTCCATAAGTTTTTCATTAATGTCAAATCTCTTGCCACCAACTAAGTAAGCCTAGAGGTGTTAAAACACTAGGAGCCTGTCAGGACTATAGGGTGAGTGATTAAACTACATGAGGCCACATTCACAAACTGTGGCCTGTGCATCACAAGCTTTGTGCACAGGTGTCTTAGAGCAAAAGTATACCTTTGGTCAACATTCTTATTGTTTCCTTTATGACCTGCCTCAGTTTCCATATCAGTCTGTCCTAATATTAGCCATTGTATTTATGTGTGGGTTTGATCAGTCAGCAGTAAACTCTTGGCAGCCCAGAAGATAGAAGCCATGATCTTGTTGGTTAATGTTGACCAGATGGTAGTAATGGTTCCACTGTTTAGACTTTTGACTGGGGTCAGGATCCCAGTGGTGAATCCACATTTCATCAGCAGCAGTTACTACACAGGCAAAAAGTTAGCTTGATCCACGTTATAGATCACTAAGAACCAATGACTCTATTCCACTCACTGATATACAGATTCTGTCCACCAAAATTTTGAGCAGGCAACTCAATTCCATTCACTGATATACAGATTCTGTCCACCAAAGTTTTGGGCAGGCAACTCAATTCCTCCCACTGATATACAGATTCTGTCTACCAAAGTTTTGGGCAGGCAACTCAATTCCACTCACTGATATATAGATTCTGTCCACTAATGTTTTAGGCAGGCAACTCAATTCCACCCACTGATATATAAATTCTGTTCACCGAAGTTTTGGGCAGGCAACTCCATTCCACCCACTGATATATAGATTCCGTTCACCAAGATTTTGGGCCAGTAACCCAATTTCACCCATTACTACAGATCCTCATCACCGAGGCTTTGGGCAAGTGACTTGACAATGTGATATCTATCATTATCATCAAAGTTTTGAACATGCCCAAATTGTCATGAATGATCTTCAAAACAGTGGCAGAAGAAATAAGTTGGACATGTCAAGGCCTCCATCTGAGAAACTGTTTCTGAGATGACCCGATCTGTTTAACATCCAGACCAGGGGTCATCTATAAGGGCTACACGTTCATGTCTTGTAATTTAGAAATACAATG